GAAAGAAAGAGCCACTTTATGGCTCCTGCAAAGTGCTTTGACGTTGTTTTTCAACCTTTATATTGTACGCACGTATAGTTTGGGTACATATAAACTTTGTATTAGCCCGGCAGACGAATTCAATTTTATACGACTGATCGGCAGACCCCCAAAAATGGCTCTAAGATGCTATAAAATCGAAAGAAAGAGCCACTTTATGGCTCCTGAAAAATGCTCTAATGTTGTTCTTTAACTTTTATATTATGTATACGTATAGTATAAGTACATATAAACTTAGTTTTAGCCCGGCAGACGAATTCAAGTTCATATGGCTGATCGGCAGACCCCAAAACCGGCTCCTCCGTGCAATAAAATCGAAAGAAAGAGCCACTTTATGGCTCCTGAAAAATGCTCTAATGTTGTTTTTGAACTTTTATATTATGTATACGTATAGTATAGGTACATGTGAACTTAGTTCTAGCCCGGCAGACGATTTCTAGTTCGTGCGACCGATCGGCAGAAAAAAAAAATGCGATAAAATCGAACGGAAGAGCCACTTTTCGGCTCCTGAAAAGTACTCTAACGTTCTTCCCTAACCTTTATATTGTGTATACGTCTACACGTATAGTATGGGTGCATATGAACTTAGTTCTAGCCCGGCAGACGATTTCCGGTTCATGGGACCGATCGGCAGACCCCATAGATGGCTCTGAAAGCAATGAAAATTTAACGTGAAAATACTGGCCTGAACGATCCTTCTAGGGAACCGTAAAAGTTCTATTACCTTGTTCTGGTACTTTTATCATGTAAAACTGAAAAATACGGATAAAGTTAAAGGTGAGTAGATAATGAGATATCCCTTTTGCGGCAGATGAGGGTAAGGCCGATCGGTGAGACTCTGAATTTGCTTTTGAGAGCTTAACTAATGCGCCAAAAACTTGTCGTTGGAGCACACTACTTTCTTTGCAGTCGTTTGAAGGTATTTCTAAGTCTTAAAACCATTATTATCGAAGATTGTTTAATAACATAAATAGTAATTTTTTTTTTTTTTTTTTTTTTTTTTTTTTTTTTTTCTTTTAAAGGTTTTATGAAGATAATTTTACAAAACTATCTATACATAAAATATACAAATTCAAGAAAATATCTTAATTACAGTGTTCAATGTGTTTTCATTATCATTCGAGCACTCGTACCAACCAAAATTCTGCGCCGAAAATGTGTTGCCAGAGCCGATCTACGCAGCCCGGGATTGCCGGAAAAAACACGTTTATTAACCTAATTTTGTAACATTGGAGTGGGCTCCGTCATTTTTATCCAATATAATATAACCTTGGGCTTGCATAGATGCATTCAGAAACATTGTTGCGCTCGTACAGAATTTCTAAAAAAAGAAAATACGTTAAATTACATATATATGTGTATGCATGTAATAGAGGGTTAAAGGAAATATCAGTTGTGACAAAAATGAGGAGAGCCAAAAAAATGACCAAATTCTTTGCGCTCCTTTGTTTTTCCTTGGAACTCATCATTTGGTTCGAGAAGTGATTTTGGTCGATGAGAGACTTGATGATATTTCCGCAATGCAATCATCGTCCTCTTCATCTTCTCCGTCCGTTTCATTGGTGTCTGGGAATAAAAATCACAATTTTGTGTCTGCAATCCGTTCGGCCACATGAAGTCGAAATCGTCTGCCGGGCTGGAACTAAGTTCATATGCTCCCATACTACACGTTTGTACAATATAAAGGTTAGGGAAGAACGTTAGAGTACTTTTCAGGAGCCATAAAGTGGCTCTTCCGTTTGATTTTATCGCATTTTTTTTTTTTTCTGCCGATCAGCCATATGAACTTGAATTCGTCTGCCGGGCTAAAACTAAGTTTATATGTACTTATACTATACGTATCATCATTAATATAAACTTCGAAGGATTCTGCCTTTTTCTATTTCACTCGAGGGGAAGTGTCCCCTCCCGGACTCTCTTCCCCACCCGGTGACTGACGCTGCTCTATGCTGAACGGTTCAGCCTGAACGTTTCCCCTATGTCTGACCGTTCCCCACTCCTCTGTCAATCGAACCATATGCCACCGCTTACGTATTATCGCTCGCCCATCCAGGTACCTAGCGGCCAGCGGTCAGTTGATGATAAATCTCGCTCATGCTCCTATGCAGCTACGCATTGATTACGCCAGCTAATTACTTTCTAATAATTAGAATTTCTTCGATAATAGTTTTCTTTATTTATTCGACTGTATTTTTTTCTCTGTTCTACTGTGATTTCCTTGGTTCTCTACTGTGTTTTTCCTAAATCTCTGAGTCAGAAATCTGAAGCACTTCGGTATGTGCACCGAGTACTTCAGATGTGTGACCTGAAATCTTCGGTATGTACCGAACTACTTCAATTGTCTGACCCGAACTTCGGCAGATGGACCTTAACTTTTCGGATGCGTGATCCGAAAACTTCAGAGATCCATATGATCTCAGCTTCGGGTTCCATGCACAAATTTTTTTCTCCGTGTTTCCTTTTAGGGGACGCAACTAAAATTTCAGTAAATTTTTTTCAGAAAAGTAAAGAAAAAGAAAAAGAAAAAAAAAGAAAAGTGGCTAACGATGGTTCCTCACCTTCACGTGGTGTTGGCTGTTTTTACTAAGTGGGAACCGTCCATTTTAAGATATAGTCTATTTCTTGCCCT